GGAACTACAGGTGGGGAGTTTAGGGCAGAAAAGGGCTTCTATAAGGCTTCTATAAGGTCTATAGACCTTCTATAAGGCTCCCATATCGGGAACTACCCACCTGAAAATGTCCTAGACTCCGACGACATGCTGGCTGACACTAACACACGTCATGGCATCACCCCTGCCAACTTTAAACCCCGTCTGAACGCTGCCTTTTCCTCAGAATCAGGACTTATACAGTACATACATGTAGTATGATATACTATGGTATACTATAAGATACCAAAATACATAGTAGATTTTGCGGTATAACCCCTCAAAAAGAAACCTCAGCGAATCGCCTGCGTGGAGCACCGTCTCTGGCGACACGTTGCCAAGCGTCAGTCGGCCAAGGCGGCTCAGCAAATCCTTGCAACTTTTTAGGCTTGGTTGGTTGGTTGGTTTAGGGTTTAGGGTTTTGGATTTAGGGTTTAGGGGTTTTGAGGCCCAAATCTTCGGAATCAAGTTCCCCGCGGCGACGGTAGCCGTCTCCAAAGCAAAAGATCGGTGGTCTTGCTAAGTACGAGCACCTCATCACCCCAAGCTCGGTGTAGGCTTCCATCGCACAACAAAAGCCTCTTTGCGAGGTTCGGGCCGAGGCACACCCTGCATAAATACATTCCCACGCAAGCAGAAGAGCAGCTCCGGAATGGCCAGCAGCGAAAGCACGAAAAACATGAGGCATAAGACTCGCAGGGTCTGAAAATAGATGCAGTACTCTAGGCCAAACTTCTCGACATCATCCAGGTGGACGCGGAATACTGATCGCCAATTCTTCTCCACAACCTTCTCCCTCGCTGATTCTGGCCACACGACTTCCGCATCATCAACTTCAATTCCCTGCCTCATTCGCGGATGGTGACTCCACCGGACATGTCTTTAAGATGCCGCGGCTTTGTCGAGCTTTCATCGGCTATCCGTGTGCAAAATGTTTCGTGGACAGATCGTTCATCGTGCAATGTCTCTCCTATGAGTAGTTGACGAGCACAAGTCCTGCCCGAGCCCAAACTCACCAGAATCCAGAAGCAATAGAATGAACCCTTGATCATCTAGCGGTGTGCCAAATGGGGGTTTCCGAAAATAGGGGACCCTATTAGAGTACCCTAAATAGTAGGATCCATACTATAAGGACCCCCAAATGAGGTACCCCCTATTTTCGGAAACTCCAAAATCGATGGTCAGCATGCGACATGATCCTTCGCCCTCAACTGCATGAGGTCGACTCTCCGCTTCTGCACTAAGCCCACGAAGCTCGTCGGAGACATGTGATGGTTTCCGAAAATAGGGGACCTTGATATAGTACCCTAACTAGTAGGATCCTTATTATAAGGACCCCCAAATAGGGTACCCCAATTCTCGGAAACTTCCATGTTGACACACTGAAGCTCCCCACGCTTGTGGTGCAGTTGCTGCTGCGGAAGCTGCGACCTTCAGACAAGACATGCGATGCTGCGCAGGCACGACGCGTGCACTTACAAATGTAGGGTTTAGGGTTTAGGGTTTAGGGGTGCTTAGCCGAGAGCGTCCCCCGCTCCCTCACATAACATATGACTGCGAGTACTACTGCTCTGAATATTGTTATTCCAGTCCTTCGTCTTGCTGCTCTGGTCCTATCCTGCCAGGCGGCCTGCTGGGCCATCATGGGCTGCAGCCAGAGTTGATCTGCGTTCTGGGGCCTCAGAGGGTCAATGCTGACTTTACGGGTTTCGGGTTCTGCCTCTTCTTTCAACTCTCCTAGTTGCTGTGGTGCTTTTGCCATGTAATCAGGACATCATGATCCTCATCTTCAACTCGGCGAGCCCATGAAACTGACACAACAACATGAAGTCGCACCACGGCTTCACCGCTCACCCCGAATCGACTTGTGCCGTCGGACTGAGCAATTGACACTTGAAGCTTGGCAGCAAGGGCAGAGAACCTGAGCGTGCTCGAGCGTTCCAGGCATGTCTTGGCACATGCAATTTGGGTGCAGTCTGGCAGCATACTCGCATCCGCATATCCTCCTTGCGAAGCGTACCACCTGGCAGTTGTGAAAAGAGACTCATTTGTCACAGGCCCCTCATTGCTACAATCTTACAGAACGGCGTCTTTGTGCTGGCCGAGGTGCATGGCATCCGAATAGCCCTGGCCTTGGAACCACCTTAGTGCAAGAGCGAGTCAGGAGGAAAAACTACCGATTCCACATGTCCGTGACGTAGAAATCGAGGATCTGTTGGCGAGACTGAGCTAAGAGAGGAACGATCCAGCAGCCTGTCCAGGGAGCCTCGCATTTCGCAAAAATGTCCGTATGTGTGTATCTGTCTATCTATCGATCGATGTATCTATCTACCTATCGATCTATCTATCTATCTATTTATTTATCTACAGTATGTATCATCTTTGCATCTATCTATCTATGTATCTATGTATCTATGTATCTATCTATCTGTCTATCTATGTCTCTATGTATCTATCTACCTATCTATCCATCTATCTATCCATGTATACTAATCTTTTGAATCAGTTCTTGCATGAAACCAGCCATGTATCTGTAAGTGTGATCGTGCACTGAAAGAAGCAGGGGACCTAGTAGGCTTCGTAAGCGTAAGGTCAACTTGGGACTATATAGTATATGATACCCGAACTTCAGAGAATTAGTTTACTTATGACCTACTCGCTAAGTCCTTAATCCTGCACGTAGTGGTCCACCAGATGAACTTGGCCCGATGCATTTGCCCGAACTGCATCTGGGCGCCGGCGCCTGCTCTTCTCTGCAACTGAACTCTTGTGCCCGTGCATTCTGCAAGCGATCTTTTAAGGTTTATGGTGAAAGCCGGAAAGTTGGAAGATGCCTATCCCAATTTCCAGCACCTAAAACACCTGGACAGCGAATCTTCCAACTTTGCCATGTACTTCGCAGTCCCAAACTAGCTTGCCAAACAGAAACCCGTCTAATTCCCCAGTGCTCTCGGGACAATACGACTGGAAAGGCTGGCTTTCTTGGCCATCCCTCTTCAAGGGTGTGGAGATGGATCCGCTCAACGTTTGGGGGAGGGGCAGTGAGAAAAAAACCGACAAACAAGGAAAGTCGGAAGATTATTGAGAGTGTTTGTTCTCTTGCCGCAAGCCCCGGGGAGCCTGCTGTAGCAAAAACGCAAAGTTGGAAGCTCCGATTTCCGACCGGCCGTTGCGTTTCACAGCTTCCAACTTGGGCGTTCACGGTAGGGTTTAGCGGCTTAGGGGCTTATAGGGTTTAGGGGTCTTTGCTGCTCAAAGCACGCGACCCGGGCCTGTGTAATCCGCCCTTGGCTGCTCCAGAAATTTCACTTCATGTCATAACGGGGCCTAAACTACAAGCAACACTCTGTGCATGCACTCCTGTTGCAGCTTCTTTGGGGCTTCCAGAATAAGGCTCAGGCCAGCCGCCTCCGACGCCGTTCATGTAACCTGCGGCTTACGGCTTAGAGATGTTTCGGCTGTATTTACCGTACATGAATCAACTGCATGATTTAATCCCGAGCTGCTGCTTCACTTCTATTTTCGACGTCGCACCCTTGTGAATGCTGCCTCGCCTTGAGATGTATCCGTGCCTTGCGCAGACGCCTCAGTCATGGCACATGTGATTTCATCACTTGCGATGCCGTCTGGCACAGCTGTTTCTTTGCTGCCTGCCTAGAATCCTAGAAAAGAAAGCTCAGCCCGCAAGAAGTTATCGAGCCACTGATCGTGGAACTGGATCTCATCTGCTTAGTCTGCACAACAAGGTCCGGACGAAAGGATTGGCGTAGTTCGCCATGCAAAAGGCACCTTTGATGTGAGGTGGTTGGCAACAGTGAGACAAAAGATTCGGCTGCTTCGCGACAGAAAAGCAACAGAATGCCCCAGACATCTCCATTCCAAAGCCCTCCCCCTCCCATCGCACGGAAGCTGCAGGGAAGGTGCACTCCTTTCGGATCTCGTACGCTAAGCCGCTGTTAAGCCCTGTGTCTCGCTGACTATCTCAGCTGCCCTCTGCAGTTGTTTCACAACATGGCAGGGGGCTTTTCAAGCTGCGATGTCCTACCTGGACCTCAATTCCTAAAGGTTGAAGGTTTAACGGTGGGGGGTTCTGGGTTTAGGGGTTTAGGGTTGCAAGTTTAGTGTTGAGGCTGAGGTTCGCCTCAACAAACTGCGGCTTTTTGCCTATGCTGGCGCATCACGTCCCGGGACAGCGTGCTCTTCGATCAGGATGGCCGCAGGAATGCCTGAGTTTGCCAGAGCTGGGTTCCTCTGCAAGAGAAAGTTCCCATGAAGGGGTCTACACAAACCTATAGTATGGTTTCCTTGTTTTGGTAACTTAACACGCCTGAAAAAGTTTTTAATCAGAAACCCTTGTAGGGAACTACAAACTATAAAGAAGAGCCTCATGTGAAGCCTGATGCTTCCAAGTCGCCGAGCTCGTTGCGGCAGGCCTGGCATGTCCGAGACTGAGCCATGCTCCAGCGCTTTCGGTTAGGGTTTGGGGTTTAGGGTTTAGGGTTTGGGGTGGTGTTTCGACTCACACACCGCAAATGCAGGCATGGCAATAAGTGTCCGAGTTTGGGTTTTAGGGTGTTTTGAGCTCAGACTGAACTTTCAAATCGACTCTTTCTGAGCGAGGTCGAGGCTCTGTCGGCTGTTGCTGTCGGGAGGCTCGCCAGCCAAAGGCTGGTAGCTGCTCTCTTCCAGGGCACCACGAGCAGCACCTTCCAGGATTCCGAAGACGGCGAGCAGCTTGGATGCTTATCTTTAATTAGTGCCAACAGCTCCCGCTCCAAAGCAGATAATCAATACACGGAGCCTGCATGGGCATCTCTGCTGCTCGATGACGCGTGGCCACCTTGGATTTTTCATCGTCACATCGGTAGGCTGTCCTACTTTCAACCATCGAATTTCAGGAGCTCTCATGAGCTTTCAGGTCCAAGGCTCTTCGCTGGCTGCGTGTACTGACATCGGCTTCCTCCTCATGATGAATCACGATGTAGGGCATGTCAGGCTCAAGAATCTGAAGCTGAACATTCATTGTTACGTTCTCCACAAGTATGATCTCTCGTCTGTAGGATTCCTTACTTTGAGTGAATTCGTGGCGGCGAAAGTGTCCTCGTTCCCTGTGGCGAGCTCCCGCTCGAGCTGTTCGCGCCTCATGGGTTTGGACGGGCGCAAAGAATATGACCCCCGTAGTCCCAATGTAGACTACCATGTGCCTCTAAAGTCCTGCCATGTGTTCCCTGCGCCACAGACATCTGCTCAGAAGTTGTGAGGCAAGCATGTTGCTCGCTGCCCATTACTGGAGATTCCCAAGGCCCTTGAGCCCTTCGACCTCTGCTTCAGATTGGTACTATGGGGCTTTCCGAAAATAAGGGGACCGCAATATAGTACCCTTACCCCCAAATGAAGTACCCCAAATTTTCGGAATCTCCCATATCGATACAGGCACTTCAAGACCCAACATGAGCCAAGCCCGGATCGTACAAATTGCAGCCATCAGGTCGAGGCACTGATACTCCAAACGCAGGTGTCTCACATGATGCTTGCACCTGCCAGCGCATGGTGCCGACATGGAATCACGCATGAGAAGCACCGGTGGCTTCATGCGCACTGCGCATCCTGATCGCCGAGTCATTTCATGCAATGTATCTGAACCATGCAGGCAGTCCCACCTCTCGTACTTGTTGTAATGCCTCGGTAATCGAATTCATGAGTGCGCCGGTGCCTCCCATTAGTGGGACAGGTCTGAGAGGGCCCTCCTGCCACCATGAAGTGGCCCCGTGGCCCCGTGCTATTAGCATCAGCATGCGACACGCAAGTTTCGAGCTCGCAGATGAATCCCATTATCGGTTAGTTTCGATTAGTAGCCTCAAGCCGTTGTCATATGTGTCAAAACCTGAGCCCTTGCGGGCCCTTCCGACACGCCCATATTGTTGTAACATAATCTCTTTTTTGCATCAGGACTTGTGCAATCGCCTGAATGTCTGAGCGTACAGAAGTTCAGCTCTCATGACTGCGCTTCCATACTTTGCTCAGGAACAACTCGCAGACACCACACCAACCCCTGAACCGTAAACCCCTGAATCGAATTCAAACCATGGCCCATGGCCGAAGATGGCTTCTCGACGGATGTCTTTCTTCCATGTCGGGCTGAAAAAGTGCTTATGACGCATCAGGGCCAGAGGACGAGGGATCTTGGCAGCATTATACATATGTATGTATGTATGTATGTATGTATGTATGTATGTATGTATGTATGTATGCGTGTATGCGTGTATGCATGCATGCATGCATGCATGCATGTGTATTATATATATATATATAAGTAAGTAAGTTAGTTAGTCGTGTGTATATATATATATATATCAAATAATAAGTACACCATGGTACACTCCATTATAATGGCTCAAGAAGGGAAGGGACACCCGCAGCGGCTTGGGTATGTTTGGAGCCCAAGACACAGCAAAGCCGTTACCAAGCAGATCAAAGGGAGCGCTACCCCGAAGAAGCAAACGAAGCCAATGAAGGCCTGCACAAAGGCAGGCACTCTGTTTGGGCGGCTGACGTGCTCTGGTTCAGTGCTGGTTCCCAGCTTCGGCAAATTGATTCAGGGACCCAGGCGAAACAAACGCTGAGCTCGTCACTTCAAGCCTTCAAGAAGAGCTGCGTTTCAGGGCATCTTTTCAGCGAGTCGTGCTGCTGTACATGGTTCAGGCGCAGGCTACGCAACGAAAGCGCTCTCAGCTTATGTCCAGGTTGCGCCCTTATGCTCCTTGATGCTCCTTGCTTTCCCTTCTTCTTCTCTCGCGTGATGTGACCCATGACGACAAAATGTCCCCCTTCTTGTGCGCAATCAAGTGCTGCAGGTTCAGCGCTCTCACTCCACCAGCAGTGCCTGCAGGCTGCAGGAGAGCCAAGAGCGATGCTTGGGGAAAACTTGTGAAAACGCCTTCTTGTCGGCATCCTCGGCCGGTTCGATGTTCAACAGATCCTCACTGCGATGACATCAAGTCGCCCAACAAAACTGCAGTCTGGCGCAGCATGCAAGACATCCGGAAAGCAGGGTGCGGCTACATCTTGCAGCAGCAAAAGGCAGGAGCAAAGTGCCTCCAGCGCGTGTGCAGCCTCTTCTGATGTGCAGTTCAAGCGGTACCTCGCCAAATTTTCAGGATCACGCGGTTCAGATTCCACGTGTGCAGTGAACTGAGGCGGCCGCTTGCTCAACTTGACCTCGCTGGATGGCATTTAGCAGCTCAGTGGCTTTGCCTATCTTTGCCTTTGCCCCATGATTCTATTTTTTTGTGACGGTAAGGCTCAGGCAATCTCCTCGCCTTTCATCTTCATCATCTCTTCAATATCTGTCCCGTCGTCTTCGAACCTTCAAAGCTGTTTCCATTGGAGTTTCCATGAGATATCTTCACTAAGAAGCCTCGACTGCTCAAGCCGCATGCTGCCGAGTCGCCACCCCAAACGATCCGCAATCAAGTGTCGGTTCCTGAAGCAGCGGGTGATTGTTAGAAGCAAGGCGCTCACCCCTCAACGCTAACTACAATAGTCTAGGCCTCCTTAAGTCCTATAAACCCTCAACCGGGAAGTCCCGCAGCTCGGACAGGTGATGATGACGACGCCATGGTGGTACGCACCTCGGGCTGAACCAGGGCGAAGCGTGACGGTCGATTGAAGGCACCAGCGAGCTGCGCATGGATACCAAAGCCCTAACCAATGAATATGATGCACGCCTCGCCCTGTCTGGCTCATCTGGCACAGTTCTTGTTTGGTCAGTTCTAAGATCAGGATCCTGGTTGCAGGAACCATCGCCATGTTGCTGCCAGCTCAGTCAGCAAATCTAGGGCAGGTCAGATACAGTAAGGGCCAAGAAGATCCAAGAACCATCATGTGGAGCGGGGTGTCCAAGAATACTAAAGCGCGGCTGAGACAAGATTACATCTATTGCTACTTCGCACAGCTAGGCGAGGGTTCGATTCAGGGTTTCGGCGCTCACACTCGGACACTCCAGGCGAGGCATAGGGTCTTGACCTTTGCGGTCTGCTACAGGCTCCAAACCCACCACCATGAGTGCACCCAAAGGTACGCTTCGAAATCTTCTTTGCGCTGCGATGGTTGCACACCTTGCCAGCATGCTGGGCTCAACTGTTTCGGCTTTAGGGCTTGTGGATCGTGGGGCTTTAGGACTCCTTCGAATGCCACGCTCTGGTAGGATTACATATACAGAACACCCAACCAGGTTATGAAAGGTATTTAAAGGCCAACTTTTACCAGAAAATCGTGTAATCTCTTGAAAATCACTGAGACTCGAAGTCTCCAAAAGCTCTCGTCAAAGCGTTTCAAAACCCTCTGAGACTGTTAGTCACTCACTGAAGGTCTGCTTGAAGTCCAAGGCGCACCACACGTGTAGGCCAGCGCATAGGCCTCCTCTGCCCTGGTGCCCGGAAGTCCTTCTTTGAGCTGCTCCCTGCAATGCAACTTCAGCTTTTAGGGGGTAGCGGCTTGATTGCGGCGCTGAGGCTCACACCCCCTCACAATCCAAGGGCTCAAGGGTTTAGTTCGGGTTTCTGTGCTAAGCTTGGGCTTGATTTCGACGCTAACACTCGCGACAGGTTTCTATTTAGGGTTTACGGGAGTGTACTTTTCGCCAAGCTTGCCAGCTAATTGAAGATGTACTGCCGTCACGAGCGGAGAGTGCGGCTAGGGTGTAGTGTTGGCAATCATTCTCGCATATGGCCAGGCTAAGGCGTCTCGCATTAGGCTTTACTTTCTGGTTATCCGGTGTAGGATTTAGTTCAATGTTTTAGGCTCAAGGTCTTGGGGTCAAGACGTAGGATGGGCTCAGGGAATGGCCAGCCATGCACAGCGCCTCAACAGATCCTCGAGCACCCGCAGCTTGCTGTCTTCAGCCTTCGGTTTGCAAAGACGAGAGATACAATCACTAAGTGAGCGTTCCCTAGGGCTCCTTATGACAACTTTTATCAAGGCTGGAAAAGATGGAGCAGGAGCCAAGCCTCCTGATGCGGTCCGCTGCTGCAGTGGCGGCCAGCATGAAAAAGCCTCACCGGACTAAGATGCGGGACGCTGGGATTTCGTGCGTTGCACCCCAATAACCTCGAAAGCCAAACTCTGCTCACCAGTCGAGTCAAGCAGCAAAGGTGGTAAAGAAGGCTGCACATGGATGGAAAAGCTGGGCCTCGCCACGTCCCTGCGCTTCAGCACGCGCCTGAGCTGCCAATACCAGCACCCCTGCGCTCGCATGCAAGGCCATGCTTGCTGCTTAGGTTCCGCAGTGATGCCCTTTGGGCACGGGCAAGGCGCCACATGGCTGGTATATATTTACAAGGTTCAGCTACAAGATGCTGCAAGTATGGCGAGAAGCCCCTTGGCAACCTTGCACGATGTGCTCTGACTCGTGTCCAATATGCCCATAGCTGCGCAAGTCCTGCATAGTCTACTGCTTGGAGCCAAGCAAGCAGGTGGCAATGGCACGGCAACTTCTCCTGTGCCTTCGCACTTTGAGTTCGCACAGCCCCAGCTGGTTTGTGCAAGCCCACTTTCCCGCCTGCATGTCCAGGACATTCCTGAGCTGCCGGAGTTGGGCTCTTGTATACTATTTCTAGCACGGTTGCTTTGCTACGCTCGACTATATTTACTTTGCGGTTTCACGAGGCCCTGTCAATGCAGCGCTGACTAGCAGTACCTATTCACGGACCCCCACGCAACAAACGCACGGCCTGGAATCAACATGTTGCTGAAACACAACAGTAACTGCGTCAAGGTGACATGTGCACTACTGCGAAACCCACGAGGAAGCCGTGGGACGACGGCCCTCCTGCGATGACGAGGCTATGGTTCTCTCTCGCTGTGGCTCTCTGCATAGCAAGCCTTGACAACATGAAAAGAGTCCCTTCCAGGTCCTGGATACAGGCAGATCGCACTTCTGTGGTGGAAGAAGACCTGCTTCTCGTGCCCGGAAAGCCTCGGAAACACAAGCCCTGAACCCCCGCTTCTCTCAGGATCTCTCAAACTTCCGGTCGCGCCTTCGCGAGCTCTGCAGCACGTAGGTGACATGCCTCGGTGTTCGGTATTAAGTATTAATGCTTTTTCAAACTTTTTCTACAACTACATTGTTGCTATAGTGGGCAGTGGAACATAGCTGAAAGGTGCTTCAGCGCTGACTGCCGACGAGGTGCTCGTCATCGAAAGACGAGGCCTCTCCCACGAATGCAGGATCAATGTGCAGCAAAACTCTAAATGATCCTGCAAAGCTCTCCTACACAGATGACAAGCCTTGACTTCGCCAACTGCAAAGGCTCCCTCAGCGTAGCCACCACAGGGGCTTGCTGCCGGAAGAGGGCAGTTAATGCCGGCAACATTGCCTGGGAGTCTCGAGCTCATGTATGCAGATGCCTGGCACACCATGTGTTTGTGCGCACTAGATAGAGTCGGCTGCTTCGTCTCACTGAAGGCGCCATTTAACCTAAATCCTAAATTCCACCACCTGATTCCAGAAAGGTTCATGAACAAAAACGCGACCACAAAGTGTGACTCAATTGCTCCTGGCGGCCGTGGAGCACCACATCCTCCATCCGCGCACTTCCTCGGTAAGATCTAAAATTAAATAATGCAATGCCCTACAGTACTGTAGGATACTACACTATGATATATATCATACAGTATAGTATGGCATAGCATAGAGTTGTTATAATCTGATTCGATTCGCTATACCTAGTATCGCAAAGTAGGCATCGGTGACCCGGGCCAAGGGTCGCAGATCGGACAGGTCAATGTTCGAACCAACCTCGGTCAGAAGGTCAGCAATGGCCGTAAATTCAAATCTCCTGGGCCTGGACCGCTTTTCAGTCCTACACATCGACAGGTCGAACCTATCAGGTTCTCCAGAGACACCAGAAATGCCTTCTCTGGCTATTAGGGCTCCCACCTCACCGGCTCGAACCGCCACCGTCAACGCAGCTGCCATTTGTTGTGAGACACTGCGGCACATTGGGTCAAAGTTGATGGGCCGGATGACCACCTGATTCCGAGATACATCAGCATTTGGGCTCGAGAATCTGTACCCTTTCTGCCACTGGACTCAAGTCGAGCCAGACTGACTACGACCGACCACGACCTGCAATCATCCTGACTGAGGCCGACACGCAACAAAACCCTAAACCCCTACACCCCAAGAGCTCTTGACCTTTCGGTCAACTCAGGGACAGACCTGGCTAACAGAGGAGCAGTTGGTGCACTTCAAGTTGATTTCTTCGGACCAGCCAGGGTTGATGAAGGTCCGCACGCCCACGATGAGGAAGCCCCTAAGACTCGGCTTTTTGAGTTTCAGTGCGTGTTAGGGTTTAGGGTTTAGGGTGAAACGCAAGTGTGCAAAGATTTTTCCGCTGGGAGAAACAACAAAGATCTCGCTAGAAGACTGGAAACTCCAACCAGTGCAAGCCGAAACCGTCAACCTGCCATGCCAAGCACGGGCTGCAGTCGGGGGCACTTCAGAAAGGTCAGCTGCGGCAGGCGGTAGTAGGACAATGGGCCCAGCAAGCGAAGTGTCGGAACCGCCTGTGGCAACACAAAGTCAGTGTTACTTGGAGGATCATGGGACTTAGTCCCTTAATTGGGGTTATAAGTAAATATAAGTATAGTTACCTGAATTATAACCCTACTTACTAAGTCCCATGATCCTTTAAGTAAGCCTGCTGAGGCAGATGAAAACTCTTTTGCCTCCTGCATGGCTGAGCGAGTCGCGAAGCAGGGTGATGTTAGATACCAGTAAATTCAGCACCTTTCGATTAAAGGCGCACAGTCCGCAACACCAGATCCCACGATGTCGACCTGTTGACGCCGTCGTGGAAAGTATGGCATCTTTTTTGTTGCCAAAATGCCTTTGTAGGAGCACTGCTGGCACCTCACGTTCATTTCCACGATTCCGAACATTGGCGGTCCCGTGGAGGGTAAATGTGAAGCTCAAAATTTCAAGACTTTGCAAAAGATCGAGCCACGCTCCAGCAAGTGGCTGGCAAGCGGCTCCGCTTCGCCGGCCGACTGGGCACCCCCTGCTATCTCAAACACACGTAGAAGCTTGAACAGCGTGAACCTGTTCAAGTTGCAATGCTTGCTCTAGGACTCCGGCTAGCGCAGCATGTTCGAAACAAACTGAGGCGCAAGCTTTGGAAAGTCCAAAGGCTGTCTTTGGCCCCCTCAAACGGAAACTGTGCACTGTGCAACGATCTCTTTCTTCAATTGTCGGGTGTCCGATTGAGAAGCGGCACATGCACCATTCAACTGAGCCGAGGCGGTTTGATAAGAACTCCCGCTGTAGAGAAACGCTTGCTTTTGATATTGCCGTTGTCGCGGCGCCACACCTGGTCGAGAGAGGCGTGCTCGGTGTAGTTCTGGTGGACACAAACCAGGCTGCCCCAAATGCCGTGAGTTGTGGGGCTGCACTTACACGCACACTGCTTCTAGTCTCTGGCAGATGATCCAGGAATCTGTACGTGCAAACCGGGCAATCTGCTGGTGAAGTTATTGTCAAACCTCTCGTCCCCATCGAACATTGCCCTCTGAGCTTGGAAGTCCTCAAGGCGAGGGTACAACAAATGCAGCAGGTCAGACTCAAATCCTTCGAAGTTGAGGCCCCAGTGGAACCTGGCTCCCGTCTGACGAATTATGGTGTATTCGAATTGTTGCATCACGTCTGTGGCGCCCCATGTACCATAGGCCATGTCCAGTTCTATTGCGCAGGCATCAGAACCATACATCATGGACAGGTAGTGGCTGCAGCTTTTCACAAAACGGATACCCATCGGGGAGGTCGCAAACTGCCCACCAGTGTTCACCCGAAGCTTCACTTCCGCGGCAATGCTTCTAATTCCGGACTGGACGCTCTCCAAGGTCCAGAGACCCGCGTTGCCTGCTAGAGGCCAGCAGTTGTAGGGAGACGGAATCTTCCAATCTTTCTGCGTGTTTTGTTGCACTGGGAAGACAAGCTCCGAAGCAAAGCCAGCATTCTCTGCTGTGTGGAGTAGGAGCATGTCGTAGTATTTCCCTTGCCTTTCTCCAACTTGGGATTTCAGTGCCATCGAAACCACCCAAGGAGTGGCATAGGGGAAGTGGTTGAAAATGATGGCAGTGAAGGTGTAAAGAAATTGCCACTCCTCCATTCTGTCCAGGAGCTCACGGATGAACTCAGCGACGCACTCAAGCCCAGCTGCGGGATGACGTCCCAAGTCATTCGGACAACTGCATGCTCGCCATCTCGCTCGTAGGGGTCCCAAAGAAATTCGACGTGCCTGTGCTTCAAGAGCAAGCTGGGATATCCGTTTGGATTCTCTGGTGATGGGGCTTGGGTCCGGAGCTCGTCTTGGACGTGAGTCCAGGTTGTCAGGGTTGTACGTCTATGCAGGTAATAGAACTGGCATACCTTCAGAACCACGGAGTAGACGATGCCGCAGGTGCAGAAGCTGGTGCCCACTGTGTTGAAAGCCTCATCTGACTGGAGTAGTGTGATGTACGGATCTGCAAACTTCTTGGGGTCTGTGATGCCGTCGAAAGGCTCGACGCGATAGCACTTGATGGCCTTGGAAGCCTTGGAGCCACTGGCCGGCACCACGTTGGCTTTCTGTCCTGGGATACCTTTCCACTCGCTGGTGGTCACAATGACCCATGACTTCACCTCACCGCAAAATGGCCCAAGTGAAATGCCCGTACCATGCGTGCTGGTAGAGCAATAACCTGCGACAGTCTGCCACCATGCTCCACCCATGTTGGTCAAAGCCAAATCCAGCGGTTCAAGCTGCTTGATTAACTCCTCGATCGTGGCTCCGCTTTGCGACTCAATCAGCGCTGAATGCTCGGTAGGCTTGTAATCGGATTTGTCCCAAGGCACTTTGTCACCCTCGCGGATCAAGGGCAGAGAGCCAGGCCGCAAACAATCTGGCCGAAGTTGTCCTTGAAATGGAGCATTCCTCTTTGCAACGGCCTTGAGCCCATGGGTCTCCACGAGCATTCCAGGGCTAGTCGTGACATGACAGTAGCTGTGGCCTGAACCAACTGCTTTGATTCGGAGACGCCTTTCTGCTGCAGAAGCTACAGCCGACATGAGCTCTTCCAAGCTGGTCGGCTTCACAATCTGCAATGGACGACACTGCACATTACCCATGATATTAGACCACATGCCATGCTCCGTCACCGGGGTGTGGCGGCTGCAAAAGGCCCCAGATTTGCGCTGTACCAAACCTTCCCAGCGTACGCCAGCAAGTGCCTGGCGCAGCTCCTGCTTGAGCTCTTCATCGGTGATGTTCGATTTGGGATCATGAAAGTGTTCCTTCGCCTTGTCGTGGAAGCTGGCAAATTTGTCCTTCAGCTCCTCCAGACTAGTTGCCGAACAGGCACAAGTTCCACTGCAAGTTCCCATTGCCCGCAACTGAGGGAATCTACAGAATCCTCACTTGAGCTCAAATCTGTAGCCATTTCAGATGAAAACTCTTAGGAACGTAGGTCTATAATGGCCTGTGGTCACAAGTTGAAGGTATCCCGTCTGACAGCTTGCCCTTTCGGGTGCATCCACACGTAGTAAGTTAAGTCACACCAAAAGAAGTCGAACTTGCAATCTGCCGGCAAGCCGTCAACCACACTGACATGCAACCATGGTGCATCTTCATCGTCGCCCACTTCCCGTATGCACACAGAATGGCGCTGTCGGGACAGGTCCTGGCCACAACACAACGATGCATCCGCACAGATCATCTCACCTCACCGGTTGACTTTTCAGGTCACATCAGACGCCATGTACCTTGAGGATTGCACTTCTCGTCGCTCGTGCGGACTACCGAGCACGACACAACATTGGCATGGCATGAGTTGGAGGCAAGTTGCAAGGCCGTGGTTTGAGCAGTCTGCCTGCCTTCCAAATTCAACAATCGTGACTAGCCTGGTCGGACGCGTCTTTTGCCAGGAGCCAGTCAGGACGCTTCAGGCTGTAGGAGAGGAGCCGTGTATCCTGATAAAGCACAGCTACAGAAGGACACAGCAGATCATAGAAAGAAACTTTGAAGCTTGCAAAGCGTCCCTTAAGCGCGCGGGGATGGAATCTCGTCGGGGGTTTTGAGCTCGACGTGCAAGAAAAAGGTGGCAACCAAATGCAGGTTAACTGCCGAGCTGTTCTGCAAAGGCTCTGGTCGCGCTTGTTCTGCTGCTTGAAGATGGACAGGGATGCCTGGTGCGAGGTGGGCACACAACACACGAGACCAAACCAGCTGCTGCCTCCTGTTTAGATTGACTGCCTGTGGATCGGTGGGACATGCGGCACTCTGGCCATCATGATGTCGGGTGGTTGGGCTTCCATCCCTGTTTCTTCTAAGCTTGAAGGACTCTGAAAGTGTTGCCATGCAAACACGAGCAGCAAGCCAAAATCAAGCCGCAAGCTCCGGGAGCTAACATGACGAGATGCAGCTGACAGGGCCGAAGGCGCAGCTGCTGCAGTCCTGTACCGAGACAAAGCGCAGGTACCCCTCGGAACATCTCGGAACACCGCAGATGTCTCCGCTCAAAAAGCCACTCCTGGGGTTTCTCCACAATGGTCAAACAGGGAACTTTGGAGGCGTTGCTCCAATTTAACACCTCAGTAGCTGCATGCTGAATATCACAACTCCGCACTGCGGAAGAAAGGTGTGCAGTGTGGACAAGTTGAGAAGCATAATTACCGAATTAGGACTGCTGGATTGTCTTTGCCGGCATTTCCGTAAACAACATCGCACCGAGATGCAATGACCACATCTCCAACCAGCTGCAGCGGCACCGGGAACATCCGCCCTTCAGCAACTGACGCACAGCCGTGATCGCTCGGAGAGACACTACAAATTACTGCACGTCACTGGCCGCAAACTTTTAGAAGCATCCAGCTTAGCATGATGCAGGGGTGTTAATCATAAGAATAGGGTTCTTGAACAATTATAGTGGAAGTATATAGTGGTTTTGCCGTGTTTCTGGTATACCGTAGCTTCAAGCGAACCCCGTCCACGACAGCGGCTGTAGGCCGCCTTCGTCCTTGCTGCTTTCGTTGAGTGCCTGCCGAAGACGCTAGGGTTGGGGGTTTAGGGCTTTTTTCCCTCCCACTTAGCAAGGACGAGCCCGCATTGCAGGGTAAGTTCGGGGACTTTGGCAGATGCAACTATAGACATTCTGGACAGCGTTGTTAGCCAGAGTTAGGCACGAACTGCCCCAAGTCCAATTTCCTACCCATAGTGACTGTTGCTCAGCAGAAGAAGACATCCTCAACGACGCAGACAATCGCAGTCACCACCAAAAAGCACAAGCCATCAAGGCATCAAAGACGAAGCTGCTTTGACCATCAAGATCGTTCAACTTTTGTGGTCATGGCGTTGTATGCAGGACACTATGCCAGCACGGCCAAACGTGCCATGGTCCCAGCACACGGAACTTGCTCCTTGACAAATTACGGATTAATACTCTAACCAGCCAGTTGACAACCAACCTGTAGGCGATGGCAAACTGCAAGCATGCGAAGTGGCTTGCCAAGACGACAAGCACACTAAGTACCCAGAATGAATTACTTTAATTGACATGGAACAGCCTCGGCATCCCACTTGCAGACAATCAGGATGTAGGGTCTAAGGCGTAGGGTTTAGGAGTTTAGGGGTTTCGGCGCTCACACTCGGACAATCCAGGCGAAGCATGTGGTTCGAGGTCTGGTTGAAGTGAAACCCGAAGTAGGATGATCAGGAGCAAGTGATCTTTGCAACCGCATACAAAGTACAACCTACTAAAAGTTTGGGGGTTTCGGCGTTCGCACGCGGACACTCCAGGCGAGGCATATGGTTCGAGGTCTGCAATGAAGTGAAACACTCATCGAGATTAAGACCCTATCAAACAAAGAACCATAGGATACAACCTCTAAAAGGGGTGGGTCTTCTTCTCCTTGCAATCCATTTCTGATCTTCTAGACTAGTACTGGACCTCAACGACCATGCTTGAAGATTGCCCTAGTTTGGGGGTTTACCTTCTACCGTTACGGAAACCTTGCTCTGGGAAGCCTTCATACCCGTGGAGGAACCACTCTATAGTACAGATTACCCAGTTTAATTGAGCAGGGACTGCAATGCACAAAGCCCTGAATCCCTTCGAAACCCGTGAACACTAAGAACCCTACTAAGAACCCGTATACGCCCAAAACCCTTGGTGCAACTGGCTAAGCCCTAAACCCTCAGACGAACCCTTCTGCCGGAATGCCTTCGCCTCGAGGGGCCTGAGCTCGTCCAGCGCAGAACCGGAAACCGGAAGCTTCGCCTGCCGGGTATGGTTTACACTCTCACAACTCGGGTATTCGGTTTTTTCCCCTCTGGTATTCGGCTTAGGGTTCAGGGTTACTTAGGGCCCACCCCAAAGACTGCGACCTGGAACCTGAGAAAAAGAAATCGAACTCTAAGAGTCCACAACCCTGAATAGGATACCAAAAATATATATATATATATATATATGTATTTAGATTAAATTAGATTATATTATAGAAATATTTGGATATAGACCCTGCTGCAGCCCAAGTGGGGGTTTCATGCGAGGGCCTGCTGGGCCATAGTCAGCACCTCCCTTGCTTTGGCGCGCTGCTCCGCAGGAGAAGACGACCCGATGCTCGCACCGATCACGGCGGCCTGGGGAGGGGTTGAGTTTCGAGTTTCGGGTTTAGGGGGCATTCTGAGGTTTTGTGATTTTTGGTTCCGGCATCGCAAGCCACAGCAAGCACGGCAAGTCGCGGGGTTCGGTTGAGGGCTCGTGCAGTGGGACTACAGGGTGAGCGGCTCTCAGGGCTTGTGGCGAGTAGTAAATAATATAATATAGTATAGTATAATATAATATAATATAATATAATATAAGGGAGCCACCTCAGTATGTTCCCCCTCAGGAAAGTCTGGAGAGAGGCAGGGGGCTGTTGTGCACAGTCTGAATTGGCTTTCCAGCACCTTCTTTATTAGTTCGGATCATCAATAAACAACTGGATTAGAGGCCATACATGGACATGGAAATGGAAGCAACTGTAGGTGCTGATTTTGCAAGCTGGTTACAAGTCTATCCCTCTGGTTACAAGTCATTTGTCAGCTGGATTGTCCAGCTTTGTGTCAGGCCTGGTATGCCAGCTTTTTAATAGGTCATGGCCCGTATTGCAAAAACGCAACAGAAAACAACATCAGCAAAGGACTAGCATGCGACATAGATACATCACTTCCTGGGCCCGGACCTATTTTATGCTGGATTGTCTGGGTCTTGGAGGGCACGAAAAGATATGCTTCCCTCGAATAGATGGGGGTACAACAAAAATAAATCAGTTCCTCAGGGTCCTGTAGGACTAACATACGTACGTATATCACCATGTCGGGGAGAGAACTCCATGGGTCACTGTACGAGACTCGTGACCTTGGAAAACTCTTAAATCCCAATGCACGATATCAACCCGTCCGTGGATCTGGGGCTTCCCCATGTGTGAGGAGCGCACACTCAACGGTTTACCGACTTGCACTCCCCCACTCGGATATAAGCAACAGCATGGTTGTAGATAAACGACGTATCACTGGGTCTCCCGAAGCTGATTCTGGCCTGGTCGCGTAAAACAAGGGAACATCTCCGGTTTATTGCCCTCGCTCCGAAACACTAAGTGAATCAGTGAGAACCTAGGAGAGCGAGACCCTACATTGGGAGGAAAAGGGCTCAGATTAGGAAATCTTAACATACCCAAACGATCCCTAACAGGCCCTAACGTTGATCAATTTAGGGGTTGGGGCTCGAGCCTCTAGTCGCCTCTGAATGGGCGGCAAGCGGAAGCCACTCCGCAAGAAGGGATGAGGAGGCACGTGCAGTGAGGCAGCTAGTGTTGGCGGCCTCAGGCTCGGGCGTGTTCATGACACTCTCATGGGGCTTTTTGGGTTTGGGTTTTGTTTTTTTCCCAGGGTTTGGGGTTGTTCTGCGGATTTTGGACGATGTGCGACGGAATCGAAAACCACTCGAAGGTCCAAGGCGCACCGTGTAGGCACCCGGAGATGTTGCAGGCTTCCTGAGCGGTGCGATCTTGCGGACTTCTAGAGCAAGCTGTGTTGGGAAGCCCAAAGCACGTGTAGAACTTAACATGCAGTGGGCTTTTGGATGCCATGGGCAGGAGGTAGAATCAGGGCCCCGTTAAGACATTAAGACCTGCGGGGACACCACAACTGCTGTGATTGTCGGCCACAGATCGGTGTGGAAGAAGCGTTGGCGGCTAGTCGTCCGATGAGTCGGTACTCACAGCCTCGTCACGTCTTGTCGCGCACGCTACCAACATGGAAGCATGCTGCTTCGCGCCCTGCCTTTGATCGACATCGAGTTGTTGAAATCGAATTGGAGGGAAGATGGGCGGCGGCAGCCACTTTTCGAGCACCACTCCAAGCCACCGGCCCTCAGTATGCATTTTGTCAAGCTTGCTCCAGCCGCATAGGGTTTCGACTCTCAGGGTGTAGGGTTTATAGGAGTATAATTAAGAGTTTAGGAGCGCATTCCGCTGATGCTGGGTCGTCTGCATTCTGAGGCTGATAGTATTCTCCTCGCCCCGGGCATCCAGAAAAGACACGTTCCAAATGCCTCGCGGGTGGAGTTGGCCGGGCACGGGGCAGCTGCAAAATTTGTGGGATGTCACGACTCAGTTCGCGTCTGACCTGCGTCCGAGATGTTGGGCGGAGCACACCAAACTCCTCTCACGAGAAGTGCCAGAAGAACGTTGGCCTTGGTGGTTTAGGGTATGATTGTTAATTTTGGCCAGGGTTCTGGTTCTTCTTATTATTGTTATTATTAGTAGTCTGACTATGAATCATCATTGTGATTCTTGTTAATATTTTGATAAATATACGGCTGGGCTCTGGGTCCCCCACTCTCTGCAGGAGCGGTGTCAGTACCCACGACAGTATCATCCTCCGCCATCTTTTCAAATCTTAAGACAACCCGGGGCCCTGTGTCGGCCCAACATCCTCAACCCTAAACCCTAAACCCTAAACCCTAAACCTATCTTCGCTCAACGACTCCCGGCTCTCTCCAAAGCCATAAACCCTCAAACAACACAAGGCCTGTGCACTGCCTGCTTAGTTGCTGAACCCATCAGCCCCAATTCAAACTCTCGGTTCCATAGGAAACTGCCTTATCACCAAAAGTGCCACGTGCACCCATTCCGCTGCTAAGAGAGAGCTTGGAACACCTCAGCACCACACCGAGGAGGCCCGAAACCAGAACATGGCTCTGGAAAGCTATGATAAGCTAGACCGAGTATGTTCATTCTTGATATTGTTAATACCGTCTGCTACGGGACCAGGTTTACTACTAATGTTTGTTATGCGAACTTCGTGTGCTGCTGGTGGCCGCGCAGGGATCTCCCACAAAGGGCACTGTCCGGTGGCATTGCTAGATCCGTTGTTGGTCTTGTGGCCGTATCTTCAGTACTGCACTGCCGGCCTAATGTCATGAACACCCGTCGATTTGCTTCGGTCGCACTAACTGAAGTTAAGCAAGGACTGTCTTCACTTGAGCAAGGCATGCGTCACGGCCCTGGTGGCGGGAAGCGTCTCAAACGGACCAGCGTGACTTGCCGGCTGCACATCTGAAGGGCTGCGGCTACGTACACATTTGCAGCGACAAAGTAAGCGGCTATCCCTAAACCCTAAACCCTAAACCCCTAAACCCTAAACCCTACACCCCTATAATCCTTATGTTTGGTGGACAGCGAGCACAGCGCAGAGCTGGGGGCGGCACCCAACGCTTCCAATCGTTCGCAACACACTTGGAGCCGAAATGACTCTGCGGCATTACAATCGGGACTTAGGGTTTAGGGTTTAGGGGTTTAGGGTTTAGGGTTTAGGGTTTAGGGGTTTAGGGTTTAGGGTTTAGGGTTTAGGGGCCACAACTTCAGTTGCCGAAATTCTCGTGCCGCATCGTCACAGTAGTAGTGGGGCGCATAGTTACGGCGGATTTACCGTCTCACCGGCCATTGAGAAATGACCTCTCGTGCGGTGCAAGCTTCTGAGCTTCCTCTCATGTCCTCAGACTCCGAGTGCCTACACAGTGAAGCCCAGTACGTTTCGTCCGCGGACATGTCAAGGTGAGACTTCGCAAAGTTCCAGCGATCGACAGTTAAGGATGCCTGCAGATGTCTCATTCATTTGCGCAGTCCTCGCGCTACTTCCAGCGGATGTATGGCAGCCCGCGGAAGCTTCTGCGCATGCATCCACAGAATCTCTCGCTCTGCAAGGTCGCAGGTTGTGGAACTGCTCTTGGGCACAGGTTAGGCGAGCAGTCTGCGACGCTACTGACAAGTTATCGTTCCGTAGTCGTCTGCTCTCCGCAGGGTCTCAGGGAGGGAGCCTTTCATCTTTGTTGCCCCCTGAAGTTGGCTTGGCCGTTCCAGGTGGTGTCACAAGGGTTGCCGAGCATGGCACCAATCCTCAAGCTAGTCGCACTTCGTAGCTTTTTTTGAGGTAGTGGGGTCGCAGATGCAGGCAAGAAACGATAATAATGGGGTATGAGAACACTTCAATCAGCGGCTGCGCAAGCCCCCCAGTCTCCCTCTGACAATGGGTGTGGAACCAGCAACAGCTCGTAATGCCTTCCCGCCTGATTAGCTCTGGCGCGCCAGTATCAAATTGCCTACTGAGTGTCTACCATGACAGGGAACCCACAAGCAGTTCCACAGCTTGCAATACTGCCCACTCAGTGGCCACACCAAGCAGCTCGAATTCGCTCCGACAAACTACTCTGGAATGAGCTCCCTGTGTGCCGGGCAACTCAAACACACAGCAGACTGAAGTCTCACTGCAGGGAGCAAGCAGGGTCTGCGTTGCCCCTGTTGGCCGGAGCCAACTTAGAGGCCCAACCTTGACAGTCCACTCAGCGGGGTCTATCACACGCACGTTTCTGCGACAAAACTAAAGAAGGGAGACAAAGCTTGCTGCACACAGACTCCCCCCGAGAAAGAACACAATAACCCGAGACTGCCGGAACCCCCATTAAACTCTATATAAACCCTTTTCGCGAAACCCTGAGCCCCAAATCCTAAGCCCTAAACCCCAGATTCTGAACCCTGAACCCTACACCGCCATGTTTCTCGTCCCACGAGCGAAGACGCGAGAGAGCTTTAGGTTGCTGGCCGATCTCTCTCCTGCAGGATGAAGCGCAGCCTTGAATCCATGGCTCGCGTCACAATGGTTTTAGGGTTCGGGGGTTTGGGGTTCAGGGGTTTAGGGTATTTAGAGCCCCTGAGCCCCCTGTCTGAATGGACTGTACATGGGTAATTTTCTGAATTTGGGTCCCTTCTTATTAGGACCCCAGTTTAGTACGGCACCCTTATAAAAAAGGACCCCACAAGGGACCCTAATTTAGAGAACTAGTACCCACATCCAAAGACCAGAAGATCAAGTCCCTCCTGGTATCTTGGTTCCTGGCACTCGTGTTGACTCCGCCTGGGCTGCTTTCGCCTGCACTCACAACATGCGCATCGCTGTTACAGCATTATGTGCCCCTTCAACGCGGACCGCTCTGTGTTCTCCAGCAAGACAGCACACTGCCATGCTGAACGCGGGGGCAGGGGAACAAAGGCAGTGATTTGGGGTTGGGGAGTTCGCGATGTGCTGTGATAGTGCTGTGATCATACGCCTTATAGGGCGCTAGGTTTCGCTTTGAAGAGTCGAGCGTGAGTGCAAGCTCGACGTACGGATCACACGGCCCGCATGTGCGCGCACGCGCGTTGTCATCAATACGCGGGGCCTCGGCAGACTCTCCCTGGAGCGCTTTGTCTGGATGCCAGCCTCAGAGAGACAAGCCTCTGCCTCGCGGAAGCTAAAAGCCTCGATGGCTTCTCTGAGGCGTCCACGCAGCAGCATCCTCTTCAGCACCTGACCTAAGGCATGAATCGCAAATAATTCCAGGGGCGCGGCCCGCACCGCGCTCATCACCGCAACAAGTCTCAGCTTCGGACGGCAACCATCAGTCCCACCGGATAATTTCGCTGCCTCTGCAAGCGTAAAATTTCGCGTACCGGCATGCTGTAAGCTGAAGCCGAGGGCGCCTCAAGCGTGGACCGCACCTCTGCTTCCGGCCCTGCAAGAGCTGGTGGAACGAGCATCGCCTCGAGTCTAGGACCATGGTGTGATGAGAAAGTGCAACAAGAGAACCATCCACAAATCGGCTTGCTTCGCCAGTCAGGGTTCGGCCTTCGCTGCTTGGGAGCATCCCTGGCCACCGAATCGAAAGCCTGGCTGAGCAGCCTAAACCCTACATCCTAACTTTGAAACCCCGATACCCCAACGCTGTAAGTCCTAAACCCCTGATACCGTAACACTATAAACCCTTTTTTGCACAGGCTTGCGTGAATCTCGCCTGGACGTGTAAAGCCTAAACTTGAAAGCCTTCCCTTTCGGAACCCTAAGAGCCTGCCGTGTGAGCTCGGCTTGGCCCGCTGGAGGCTCCTGCAGGCGAGGAAGTACTTCAGACTATGGTCTTGTAGGCATAATCATAACGATAATGGTAATGACAATAATAACAAATAATGAGAATTAGAACTTTTCCAAATACCAACGCCAACACTAGTGGTACTAAGAATAAGCATAAGAGAACAATAAGAACGATGATAGCATCAATAATGGCATCAGGGTTCTACGAGGGAAGCCTCAACTCTTCGGAGACAACTCCGACCCTCTCGGAATCTTCGGCTTGCGAGTCTTGCGAGACTTGCGAGTCTTGCGAGTCGAGTGAGTCAGATACCCCTCTTTGTCAAAGCAGGCTCGCGCTGCAATCTTGCAGTAGTGGAGTCTCGACCTAAGTCGGTCAAGGGGCTCCGCCATCCTCTAAGCAGATCTAGGCAATCTAATATAGGGGCCTTAATAATCAGTGAATAGGGTTTTAGGGCAGATTATACTATAATTATACTCAGGAACCCCCAAAGTAGTATAGGTAAGTATCAAGGCCCCTATATTATGCAATCCATGCTCCCCAGTTGGTGCTTCTACTCATTAGCTGGCTAACCGCCGCAAACCGTCAGTTCTGACAGAACTTGGTCTTCAGTTCTTGTAAACTGCGTAATTGATTAGCTCCAACGTGAGAGCTTGGGAGTTGTGATGAAGGGGTGAGATGCGAATCACTGCACTTCGCACCTTGCTCGGAGCGGTTCTCTGACCACGGGCTGCGCATTCAGTTGAATTTCACGCGCGAGGACATCAAAAATTGCATAATCCATGGCTTCTTCCACACCGGTACCCTCTTTGGCAGATGTCTCGAAGTACACGAGGTCGTGCTCTTTGGCGTATAGCTCGGCTTCCTCTCTGGAAATTCTTCGTTCCTCTACGAGGTCAGCCTTGTTCCCGATCAAGAGCTTCGTTGGGATCACCTGTGCCTCCTGGAAACGGAGCCAATCGCTGATGTCACGGAAGGATTGTGGGTATGTCAAGTCCAGAACCAGCAGAATAGCCTGCTTTCTTCGAAAGTAAACGGACGTGATGGTCCGGAATCGCTCCTTCCCTGCGGGCTGATCCCAGATAATGGCCTTCACAGGTTCATCATGTGCCATCACCCTGGCAACCTGGAAGTCAATCCCTATCGTGTTGGGCATCATGCGCTCGTTGAAGGTGTTGTGGGTGTACCTAGTTCATGGTTGGGGTAGTATTAAAAATTTACATTTACATTCCTTATTGGGTTTAAGTACCCTTAAAAATGTAAAATGTTACCCAACTATGACAAAGGTACCTGTGGAGCAAACTCGTCTTGCCAGACCTGTGCTCTCCAAAGAGCCCTAAATGAATGGTGCGGCACTTCTCGGGTAAAGAAGCCACTCGCTCTGTCCGAAGTGGCTGTGTTATCTCATGAAATTCAAGGACTGCAGGAGCTTTCGGTCCTATCTGTCCTAGGACTTCGGTCTCTGCCAGAGATCGTCCGCTGAAGACCAGAACCCTCCTCAAAAGAAGGTCGGGCTCCTCAGGGTGAACAGCCTCCAGGATGCTTGTAACGCGTGCTGTTTCAGGCAGCTCCACTTCACCGATGAGCTTACCAGACAGCTGCTGCACCCGAATGCTGTACAACGCCATGGCCTCCTTATTCTTCGACGCCCAAAAAACGATCAGCCCGGGCGTCGCCAGGCTGAGCGAAGCGTTCAGCGAGCGTCCTTTCCTACAACTTTCGAGTGTACGTGGCCGCGGCAGTGCGCATTGCAGCACTCAGGGAAGCCCTGTCAGCTCAAACCATTCCAGCGAAACAGGCCTGGAGTTCCCTTGCCCTCTTTCTGGGAACCGCCTGGGAGTTGACTCGGGCTGACATCACCGCTTTTGCAGCCATCTGTCAGCACGTCTATCACTCTGCAGGTAGGCCCTGACCCGGGCCAGGGGCCGTACCACTGCCGGCTTTGGAGCCTGGACCAAGTCGCTTCAAGGTGCCTATACAGAAAACCCAAGTCTCTCTGGATCTCGTGTCTCTTCTACCTGTAGTCTCCGCCGTAGTTCCTTGCACTTCATGATTCTGATCCTACAAACAAAGACAAAATCCCCCAAAATTTAAAATAAGGGAACTAGACAGGAGACCATAGGAAGATCTACCTGAGATTGAAAGCAGTCCGGATCTGCAGCCTTTGGACGTGAACGGCTCCTTCCCACCTGTCAGATCTGATTGCTCCGCCACCCGGCAAACCCTAAACCCTAAACCCTAAACCCGGCAGGGTGTCTTGACATGAGAGTCATGCCATGTAGCATTGTCAAACACAACAATTTTTACGGCGGTACATGATATGATATAGAAGGCAGTGAGGCAAAGTATCATAGAATTCAACATACAATTGAATACAACATATATGACTTTATTACACCAAGCAATCTTCAGGTCTGGTGTCGAGAGCTCTTGTCGGCAAAACCCGAACTTTTTGCACCCCCGCGCAACAGGTCAGCCGAAGTCAGCTGATATATGTTGATGCGGTGAGCCGGGCGGCCATCCTCCACCTAAAGATCACACAGCTGGCACTGGCCTTGCAATTCTCTTAGCAGGCTCTTGGAGGGGGAGCGGTGGAGACAGAGGCTGGATGGATGTCACCCCACCAAGGGACACTGAAACTCTCACAGGCCAGAAACGATGGCTTGCTGGCAGGTGAACACTTTGGAAGTTTCGGCTGCAAGGAACTGCAAGGTCTTGGTCGCTGGCAGGAGGAAGAGCCGTGTAGCGCAGCTGCAGCGGGATATCTTCGTCTTTGCAGAAGTTCCTTGGTGCTTATGTGGGGTGCTCCTGAGAATCATTGAATGAGGCTGAGTTCCACCGAAGAAACCTTACAAAGCAAACTGCCAAGAGCCTAGGGGAGTGCCCTCTCCTCCCTACAAGCCGAAATTGCGGTTGACCCGGCTGTTGGCGTTTCAGCCATTCAACTGAGTCACTCGAAGGTCTCCTCTCCCAGGTCTGGACGTTGAACAACTGCCTTTGATCACTGCTGGATGCTGCAGAAGATCTGATCATCTCTTTGTGACCCTGTGGTGTCGTATTCAAACTGTCTGACGGGCCTGACACGAGCCCCAGGCCGCCCAGGCCCGTGTCCCTCCAATACGTCTCCCGGACGCATGTAGCAAGGCCGTGAAGACAGGCCCCCCCTTTTTTACAATAGATGATGTACGTGCCCGGCTCCCAAATCCCTTTGAGAAGTGGGCGCCGTGCTGAATTGTTCTGTTGGTGGCTACTCCACTCTTATGCTAGAAGTGCCCTTGCGCCGAGCGCTCCGGGCCAGCGTTTGCCACCTCTGCGCAAGCAGTGCAACTTTCCTCGGTGTAAACCTTCGAAACATCTTTCAGAAACTGACATGCGCTCTGCAACTTGAAGGCGAAATTTGGTTCAGAACCCCATTGCAACGAGGCGAGTTCAAAAGCTGCATCTGCTTCCTGTGAGCAGCTGTGAGACCGTGGTTAGCCTCTGAGCTCTCTACATGCTGGGCTTGTGCCGCATTCTGGAGGTTACCGTTTGCAAGCAAAAAAGCAGAGAGTCGCAGTCCTTCACATCTTGCCCACGGATCCTGACATCGCCTGCAAGGGGGCAGGGGTGTTGCAACAAATGATGCTCAGGGGTTAATTCTTACCACGGAACTTCTACTTTCTTGGAAACCTTAAGCTCAAGACTTCCTATTCGCATTAAACCTTCAAGTCTTCTGCCTTCTCAACGTCTTCAGACTTGAGGGTGGACTGCTGTCGTAGCAGCTGTGGCTTCTTCATCTTGTCTTTGGCCACCTTGATCTGCGAAGCTGTGGGGGAAGCAGTGCCCTTGCAATCCCTTGCATTTGGGTAGTTTTCTAAATTAGGGTCCCTTTTTAGGTCCCCAAAATAGTACGGCACCCTTGTAAAAAGGAGCCCAGAAGGGACCCTAATTCAGAAAACTACCCATTTGGGGGTTTCCGAAAATAGGGGACCCTAATATAGCACCCTAAATAATAGGATCCCTGTTATAAGGAGCCCCTCAGTTGCCCGAGTTGGAGAAATCCTCTTGTGCTTAGGTGCTTGGTTGAGCCCCTGAGCCCCAAGCCTAAATCCCATGGGCCCTGAATCCTATAAGACCCGAAAGCCGTTCTGCAACCCTGAACCCTATGCCCTAAACTCCCTGAACTCTTTCCATGCCACTGGAGACTTCGACGGTGACGTCCGCGCCGGCGAAAGTGGCCCGTGGCTGACGAGCATGGCGTTCAGGGACTCGGTGCCAAGGCCACTTCGACCTCAAGGTACAAGATTCCCTGCAATAGATGCTGAAAAGCATCTATGTATAGGAACAACTTAATACCTTGCAGCACACAGGAGCGTGTAGTAGAACATCTTAGCCTAGCAGGGGCTAGCATGTAAGTAAGTACTCGTATGCGTTTTCGTATAAGATACGGATACTAGGGAAGGAGTATGGAACAACTGGTTGCAGCTAGATCTTGCTAGTAGCTATTTACAGTTCCTAACTGACCCCTAGTATCTAGTACAACTGTTGCCTAGAAGGGTACAGTGTAGTACTGCATAAACCTGACAATCAACGTCCTTCGGATGCGATCCGAGCGACAAATCAAGTCCATCAATCGGGTCACTTCTTGCACCGCCGTGATGCCTCAAGGGGCGGCACGAGAGACGTGAAAAAGTAGGATAGAGAGTGAAAGTAACCTTGCGGACGTCAACATTCAGGTGTGTTTTCGTGTGCTTTCCCACTGACTGTTTTTGTTTGACGGCCTTGGGACGCAACCGCCCGTCTGGCCTCATCCGGTGCTATCATGCCCTTGTGGTGATGACGAATTCCACCGGTTCTCATGTCACGAGTCCAAGCTTTGGAGTCGTAGAAGGGATGATCAAAGCCTAATCCCCCCATGATGGTGTCAGAGCGACTGCTCCAGGAGGACACTGCCTTGACGAGACTTCGGGCCACATAGGAAAAGACACATCCCCTGCTCCGGTTGTCAATCTTACTGCTGTTGCTGCCCCTGCTGCAGCTTCGAACTCCAGGAGTCAGTGAAACTTCACGGGGCTCCCAGATGGAAAGGCAGGGACACGGGCACTCCCGCATGCGCAAATCGCAGCCGCGTCTGGGCGATCTCTTAGCGCCGCCAAAGTCTGTGTGAAAACTCATGGCAGGACATGGCCTTCGAGTTGCCAAAGCCATGAGCTCTGCGCGATGACTGCTGTCAGCGATCCAGGAAGCATCTCCTGATGCAGGAACTTAGCATCTTTGCAAGCTTAGCTACGGTGGCAGAGCAAGCATCCCAAGTGATGGCACAAACAGCACAAAATCTTTCGCCTGCAAATTGAACATTGAGTCTTGCACAGCCAAAGTGGGGGTATGGCTGCCGTAGGCAAGGACGATATCCTCGGTTGCAAAAGGCACCTTCACCTGTGGCTTCTTACCGAAACTCCTGCTCGAAAATCGTGTCTGTGCAAGTGCATTGTACATAAACTGTAACATAAACTATTGTTCCATGTAGTTGATCATATGTTTTCATTGAAATATGTGTATATGTTCTGTCTGTATACATGTATGTGCATATAGACATACAGATCTATTTCAATTTCCATAAACATATAATATGTTGACTCGAGGCCCAGGAGCAATGGAATGCTCTGGCCGCCACGGCTGCATGTGGGACAGCCTAGGATCCGTCGCCGTTTGCAATACTACTACACTACACTAATGCTATATACCCTACCGACAACACCACCACATACTGTGGTATATTGTAGTATGACATAGCTTACAACTTGCTGGCAGTTAGCACGGAGACTCGATAGCAGCCCGTTAGAATCACACACCTCTACCAACACTGCCAGAGGATCAGTATACCAACATCGAGTTTGGAGTCTCTCTATGCGACATGTAAGCACAAAGCATAGGACTTTTGAAGATACAGGGCTGTGATTCAATCTCTTTTCCAAGGGTCCTTTGGGTCAGCTGGTTGAAGTTCCAGTTGACGGCCGCTGAAGACATCCTAAGCATCACAAACCTAGCCTCAAGAATATCATGAGACATCCTAGGCCCTAGGAGGACACGACAGATGCGAACACCTGTAACGCCTGGAAGCCTTTTTCAATGTAACCCCCACCCCGGTGCCCAGCAGCCGGCCCAAAGCACTTCTTCTCTCCCCCCTCCCCCGCCGCCACAAAAGAAAGGATATCATGGTAAAGTGTACTGCGCTCTGGTGCATCATGTAAAGCATCTTTTGTAGCATGCTCTGGTATTGGAGCCATGCCATCACAACATAATAATCACAAAAACTACAACAACACCAAGTAACAAGAGTAGTAATACAACAGTAATCATCTACCTCTCCAAGGCTCTGCCAGAAGTTGTCCGATGCGGATGCCAGTCCGGCTTCGTACTCGTTGTAGATATGCCTAGACTTTGGGGGTTTAGGGTTTCAGGTTCAGGGCTTGGGGTTTCTTAAGGTCCTCAACACGTAGAAGAGGTTGGTTGAACAAGGTGTCATAGGTGCCGACACCGGTTTAATGAGTCTTTATCTTGTTTAAGATAGGGTCCTCAACATTTAGAACAGGGTTTCGGGGTTTTGGGGTACAACATACTATATTTCAAAATTATGAGGGGACTTTGTTGCCAATGATTCGGACTCCTGTATCCGGAAGGTCTTATTGCCTGGGTTTGGGTCTAAGGGTGTAGGGTTGCAGAAAAACCATCTAGTAACATGAGCTTTCACTGAAGGTAATGTCCTTAACAAGGTCTTTCGGCTATTGAAGTGCTACAGCCCACCCCCCGTGCTCGGAAACAGGGACCAACTAAGACGCCAAGTATCCGCCATTGCGCGCTTGCAGGCAACTGCGCCTTCAACAAAGATGGTGCCTGTGAGCGGAATGAGAGCCACCTTTAGCCATGGTATAATGCAGTGTATATTACAACATATTATATTATATGGGGTGTACCGAAATAGAATCGTACCGTATTCTAAAGTATAGTTGAATATAGTACAGCATAGTAGCGTATAGCATAGGAGACCGTAACAGACATAGCATAGAATAGCAGGGGGCACTGCGCCGAGGGGCCAAAATGAAGTCGCCGCAAGCCTTGACCATGCCCTTGATGTCCTGGGCTTAGTTTAGTTGAAAGATGGTAGATAGTCAACTCGGAGACATTTGGGATGGGTCTGTTATAACTGTTAGACCTGACATTATATTCGAATATCGTCCGGGCTGCTGTCATAGGGCTTCGTGTTGCTAAAACTCTACCCCGAGAGCATGCCAGGCACAAACTCAGAAATCTGACCGAAGACAAGTATACCAGCAGCCCCATCGCCAGCGCCGCTTGCGAAACAGCGATAAGTAGCTAAAAACATTGTTAATGCTACTTGCAACGCTTCCATACATACATACATACATACCTACATACATACATACATACATACATACATACATACATGCATGCCTGCCTACCTACCTACCTACCTACCTACCTACCTACCTACGTATGTACGTACACATATACATGCACATGCATGCATATATACATACATCCATCCATCCATGCAAGCATACATACA